TCATTGAAAATGTGGACAGAAATCCTTGTAAAGGAAGAGCACATTAACAAATTACCTGGCAGTCTACGCAAACAGTTTTTAAAAGCGGAAAGAGGCTAACAACTTACATTTTGCTTTTTACATAGCTTACCCTCCCTTCTTTTTTTGCATAAGTTGCATTCCGTGCATGATGCAAGAAAACATATTTTTCTCAGGAAAAAGCCAAAGCAAATAACTTGATAATTGAGCCCATAATAAGCTTGCAGTAACAATATGACTCTAGTGTCACAGCGCTCTGATAAACCACTGGTGTGCACTGAAGGAGAGAGAAAGCTGGTGTGCCAATTCAGCCATGATTGTCCTGGAAGCAGTTAAAACTTTATAAGGTAAAGCACAAACGAGAACAATGCCTGTGCAGCTGAAATCACTGTAGGATCTTGCTGCTGTTCATTAACCACAAGAGAGCTGGCAGAATCTCCTAAGTGAATTCCAACCTGGTATTCTCTGAGGGGCACTCATTCTTCTGTATCTTATTTCTTCAAAATAGACATCAGGCATTAGATAATCTCTTATCGACACATTTCTTTTTATTCAGAGTGAAAAGCAGACCTCGCTCATTCTACTTACAAAATACCAGCTGTCAGGGGCCCATTTAAAAATGAAAGGACTTATCACCTTGTGTAAATGACAAGATTAATAATGTCTTGGGTTTCTGAGAACTTTATTCCACTTGTAGACCATGTTAGGGCAGGCCAGGAGTTTGAATGAAATCATGTTCCTTCCTATGACGCAGAATACATACACCCATATAAAATGTTACCCCAAAGCACACACCCAGATCATTCTAATTATCATGAGTGGAAAGGCAGGTCTTGTTCAAGTCTAAAAGGTCAACTTACATGAAGTGTGCCTTAGTGATCTGTCTGATTGCAGCCAATATGAAGAAGTGTTAGAGGGAAACTTGTATCCAGAGAGCTATTCCTACAAGTACACAAAGCTTATGAACACATCGTAAATGAAAACTGGCATTGTCTGAGGTGGATAAGGGGTCTGTGGGCCATCTTTGATTTAGGTGAAGGGTATAGAAATGTGGAGATATTAGGAAACTCATCAAAGGGAGAGGCAGGAGCAGGGTGACACCGAATCTAAAGATGTGCTACATCCATCCCTCAAATTGGTTGATAAAAATAAGATATCCACAAGATGTCAAAGGAAAGGCCATCAAAATATTTAGAATTTAAAAAAAACAACACCCTCAGTGAATCATCTAGCTGTTTGGCCTACTGGGCCTTTAACATGTGGATGCTTCCAGAAGTAAATAAAACCTCTGAATAATTAATAAACCAGGTTCATGCTTCCTCCGCATGTTTGGTTCTCTTGAAGACTATCCTGGAAAGAGCTTGCATCATCCAACTCTCTGCTTTTGCTCCTGCCCTGCTCTACCTCTCAGTGCCAGTTCTCTCTCCTGAAAGCAACCAGAGACCATTTGAGGTCATTATAATGTAAAACTATTGAAGCATTGTCTGTTTCAGTAAAATTTTCTAACTAGATGCTGTGTGAAAAGCAGTATAGCTATGTAGCACTGGACAGAAATTTTAAGGAATAAGAGAAAATATCATTAGGACTCCAGGGGTAAAGACCCTTAAGTGTGTTTAATGCATCTACACTTTTACGACTTGAGTGTGGTTCTGGTCCTAATTTGCTAGTATCTTTGGTATGGCCCTCTGTTGCAAAGATAAATTACTATAGTCAATACAATATTTTCAGGTGGGAATACGGATATCAGTTAGAAGCTGAAGCTACTTTAAAATTATGGTTTAGCAGTTACGCCAGTGTTTTCATAATCTCCATCTCTAAAAACATCGCTGCAGTAATTTTGAAAATATGAAATGAAAGAGATCTAAAAACAATAAATTGAGTCTTTCTAGGCAGCATTGTCAAGAAAAAAACAACTTCCACAAAGCTAACTTTGGTTTGGGGGCAGGGGGGAGATAAATAAAAGAACTCACAGAAATCTATTGGAAAATTTAAACTCAGAAAAAAATTCCCCTCTAATAAAATCTCATACAGAGGTATTAGAAAAATGTTAATTGAATGGCCTTTGTTTTTATGATACAAAACAGATTACATCCTTTACCAACTTTACTTGAAAATCAAAATCCATGCTGTTTCTAAGTCCCTTTTTCACCCCCCTCCCCCCAAAAAAAATCAAATACGGGTGTTATCCAGTACACATGTTCTACCTGTCCCACTATTCTAAAACTGTATTATTATATTAGCAAGCACATTTATTCTCTTTTGTAGAACTCCTCCACATTATGATAAAAAATTCAAACTGATCAAACTTGATCATTAACATTGGTATTGTTAGAAATCTGCATCTCTGCAAAGTAAACTCTAATTTACATGATCTTATTTTGTTCTGGGTCATCTTTTCCTGTCTTTTATAGATACCTTAATTATGACAGTGCTTAGACTGCAGTTGAAATTCTTCTTTTTTATAGTCCAGGATTTACACCTGTCATGTTACTCAAATTCATTTTATGAATCTGAGTTCTACCTAAGAATCAGAGCAAAGAGAAACAGTTTTTACAATTTCTTGCAGAGTGCCTCATTGCTTCATTTGCTTTCATGTTGTACAGGTGAGTTGGTGTTGTTCATGTTTAATAACTACTCCTGATCCAGGGTCTGTCTTTATATCTGGATGGTAAGTAATATCTCACACAATGGGGGTTCCCGTCCATGATGAGTTCTGCTTATTCACCAGTGGGCAGCTCCTATTCCTCATGGAAGAGAGCGAAGAAACAGACCTAGGGAAGCTCTTTAGCCAGCTCATTCATCCTTGTACCTAGTCTAACATTCACATTTCAAAGCTGTCTGGAATTGCTTGTCTAATTGGCCTTTAGAAATATGCACACATGCTTATAAGATGAATATGTTTATAAAATATGCATACACTATTTGGACATCTGCTCTCTTTTGTCTTGTCCACTGAGCTCAGTGTGGTTGTATGCTTGTATGCCTATCACACACATCTGACTTTTACCTCTGCCTTTTCTCTTGTTTTCTATGGGTGAATTTACTTGACCATGTAATGTCAATTTCACAATTATGTTATCTGATACGCACTCTGTTACCATCTTAGATATCTGCCAGCATAACACAGAGTTTAAAATGAGTACCTACAGAAATAATAGGTATGTGTTTAATATTAGCCTTTTATGTTTTTCCTGATTAACCATTTTCTCTGGTTCTTCAGTTAAAAAAAAGTAAACATGCTATTCATTAAAGTAGGAAACCAATATATTTTCTTTTGAAAGCAATGCATTTTACAATGTGCACCTCAAAAGAGACAATCTTAAAACTATAAATACCAACTCTAAAAAGCAATATAATTAAGGTTAGAAATAGCAAAATAGTTTCCTCATTTCATGAAATCAAAATTCCCAATGACAAGAGTATATTTATTATAAAATATTAGACACATAAATAATAAATGAATAAAATGAATTGGGCACAAGTTCGAATCTTCAATCACCTTTTCACTGATCCTACAAAAGTTTTATCTGTCTAAGGAAATAGGCCTATTGTCAGTAAATGTAGCTAGCAAATCATTATTATGATATAATTATATTATTTCACCTTACAGCTGCTTTTTGAGCTCCTTCAGTTCCTTTTTTAGGAAACACAGCACACACTCATTTACAATGCCTACGTATTTCCCACATGGACAAATAGTGGGTGCTCAAAAAATGTTTGCTGTTGATGGTGACAATAACTCATATGACGAACTTGGGATATTTTCTGCTCACAATCAATAGCTAATTTAATAATGTTTTCCTTTGTCAATAATGCCTCTTGTTTTCTTACGGCAAAGGGAAAAACACAATTGATTGGTTTAGTATTTTTTATATATGTTGAAGATTTTTAAACGATTCCCATTTAAAACTAATTTTACAATTTACTACCTCTTATACAGTTTAGTCAGTAAAAATTATCTGATAGTTGGTAAAATGCCAAAGAATAATCTCATAATGATGATTGAAATAGAGTCTTAGACTATATGACGCTAGCATTACTTAACAGCTCTCAATTGAAAACATCTAATTTAAACTTTTCTTTTTCTTGGTGGTGATTTTCATAGGAGATTTGCCAAGCAACCACTGTAATATGGTCTTTGAAACAAAATTTGATTTAGGTAACCATTGGGTTAAAAGTTATAAATAATGATAACATAATTAAATTCTAACTCAACGATGTTTATAAAACAAAAATTAACAGGCTGAACTTTTTGTTGTTTTAGGTACTGTCATACTCAGTTACAGCATTCATAACCTAACTTTATTGAGTGCAAAATATGTTTCATGATATTTTCATGATCTTATTTCATAGTTATTATTAAAGTTAAGCTCATTGCATGGCCCTCCATAAAATAATTTCCAGCAGAGATATTTTTAAACTTTTCACATGTGCAAAAAAAAAATAGTATTTTGGTTAATCTAAAAGTGCTTCTCACTTATAATTAGATAAGTCAACATAAAATGCATAATCAGATAATTTCACATATAGAGCATATAGATATATCTATCTACTATTTCTAATAAAATCTACATAACATTCCAAGTATATCACTTCCAATTTCTGCATAAATTCAGTGCTCTTGATTAGCTCAGTACTTTCTATGAATGTCTCCCTGTTATGATGGTAAAGAATAAAAGGTAAAAAAATAGCTAGCCACAATTAGTACTCAGTTTTCAAATCATTCAATCCCATTCTGAAAACGAGAACATTTATGAAGTTTACGGATACAAAGTGAGTTAACTACCCCAAAAAAGTAGTAGTGAAAGAAAAGTCCTGAAAGTGACCTTATTCTGCATCTTGCTTATATTTGTGCTTTACCTTTCCCCATATCAACAAACAGGCCACAAGGGTCTACTGCAGCTCACTGTTATTTTTATTCTTCAGGCTTCACTGATACTTTAGTGTTCTCAAAGAAAGACAAGAAAATCTTTACAACATACCTGGTCATTTATCTGGCATGCAACGAGGTTGTGCTGATCATAACCGCCAGCAAACCTGATGTACTTGAGCCAGCTTCCTACATCTGGTTCACTAGCATCTATGCAGAACTTCACATTGCAAAACTCATCTAAGATCTAGAAGGAAGAAGATGAGAACAATCAATTTCTACATCAGTTCATTCATTAGAATGGTCATCTGCTTGAAAACACTTTATTCAATATACATTCCTCTTCTGAATCTTTGAAAGCAAAAACTCAGCATTAATATAAATACAGACAGAATGCTATCTTAAAAGTGACAAGGTACCGGTTTTTAAAGGAGCAAAGCAATTGTGAATTATTACAAAAATTTAATTGGTTTTAAAGATGCTTGTTTCCTTGTTATGCATGAATGAGTGCTATTGGCTTAATTCTACCCAATGACTTTTGCAAAAAAATACTGAACAGTGTATATTAATATAATATTTCTAAACTAAATAGTCAATATTTTAGGTTCAGATAGTGTTCCCATGTAAATATATACTTTCACAGTTTTGCATTATAAATTCATTCAATTTAAAAACTTTCATTTAAATACTGTGTTCATTTTCAGCGTTCATTTCACTACCATGAAATCACACCTTGAGTTGAAGAAGATAATAAGATTTGTCTCCTAGATGCTCCTGGCCCAACTAAAGAAAACCAAATGAAAGCAAATGATTGGTATAGGTTTCATGCAAAATGTGGCAACTTAATGTTTTAGTTAACACATGCCAATGCATATTTCGATTTTACATTTAGTAAGCAAAATAACAAAACTGGCTTGTGAACAAGTAAAAATAAATATAAGAATGTTGTAGTAAATTGTCATCATTATATATGACTGTGTATTGTTGTTTTTCATGAGATTTTTAGACCCAGCCTAACCTAAATATTAATTACTTAAGACACCTATTAAACACACGTTGAAATGGGAAAGGTCCACTTTTAAGGTTTTGTGTACTTAAATGAAACTATTCTGATTCAGCAGCAGCAACAATGTCTTAAACATGAACAACATGAAAAGCTGCAGAGTTGTTGACCTGATGGTGAATAACTAGAAAGGCTGGTAATGCTAATGTCAATCGGTGAGTGCAAACTTGAGGAAGTTTCCTATCAAAGACTAAACAATACAGGCTAGATCAAAAAATTAATGCATCCAATAAGCCCCACGGAACTCTGCTGTGTCTATACCTACATAAAAGTTAAAACTAAACCCCTGGGTATACAGACGAAAAGCAATTTTGCATAGAATTCAGGTAATCACCCAGTTGCAGATTCAAGTCATTAACTCAGCACAAACTTCAAGAAGAAGCCCAGTGCTCTGAGTGTTCTGGTCAAGAGGCATTGGGAATAAGCCTTTGACCAGGAGGCAATTAAAGGGCAATAAGTAGTCCCACAATTTATAAAAGAAAAATTAGAACAGAAGATAGGGATAATCATTGCTACACACACACACACACACACACACACACACACACCACACTTCTTTTCCAAAGACACTTCTTCACACGAAAAAACAACAAAAAGTCTACATTAAATACACTCTCTAGTGAGGACAGATTTTTAACAATTTCTTATTATCACATCACAAACTTTAAGTTGTTTTTTTCAACTCTCAATGCTGAGCAACTCAGATGGCAACTTGAGATTCCATCCCCTCCTCAGATGTCTAGAAGGACCCTAACTAACAATAGCAACCCACATTCTAAAATAGTAAAAAGTTGGGATTGCTGTTTTGTTTGTTTGCTGGTTGGTTTGGTTTCTAGATCTTTTGTTTTTTGTTTTCTTGACTAGCAAAAAAAAAAAAGCAGCTCAATTGACACACTAAAGAAATATTTAATAAAGGAAATAGGATGAAGTCAGTGAAATGCAACACCAGATCCATTTCATATTTGCAGAAAGACATGGAAAACTTGTTAATTTCAAAGTCAAGCATCATCTATCCCCTTAGCTTTCCAGTATTCCCTTCTGCGGGGGCAGGGCGTTAAGGATTGCATATACTGCACATAAAAATCCTAGGTGTAATTTTATTCCGTGTTAACATTATTGCCATTGCCACTGTCAACAGTGAAATTAATTTAAAAACAGGTTCATTTCCAAAGAATGTCTTTTCATATATATGTTACATGATTATTCAAATATTTCACCAACATATTAACTTTCTTACTCTCGATATTCCTGCCCCAGGACAAAAGCTTAACTTTCTTCAGCAACGTATCCCCCCCTCCCTGGGCGAATTATTTATTTTTGATTTGCTAACAGAGCTGCATTTGTCTCCCCCAATGTCTTAATCATCTCAGAAATCTCGAATAAAATAAAGTCACAGCAACATCTCCCGTCATTTCATCTAACATACTCCTGTGTTTTTCAAAGCTTTCAAGTTCCAGAGATAGCTTAAAAAAAAAAAAAAAGAATTCCCTTTAGGTGGACTTTAGAGAAAGGCCCTTTCAAAAACCCAACAGCAAAAAGGGGGGAAAGGAAAAAAAAAAACCCACAATCTAGCCAAAGGGTCCGAATATGACTTTCTCGCGGAGCAGCACACGCTGTTGGACAGCAAAGCTGTTACTTGGCAAGGTGGAACCCGACCGAAAGCCGCTCCAAAGTCGTGTGGCCGCTGCCAGGAATTCAGATTTTGGCAACCCCACCTTCTGCGTCCCAGCGACCGACGGACAGACACCCGGAGGGAGGGGAGGCCGGAGAAGAGCGCGAGAGACAGAGGCCGGCGGC